TCAAATAAATGTGAACATGAACACAGAAAATGAAAAGAAGGCTCAATTTTGGCGAAACAAAGTTTTGGTTGCGCAATCAGGAGAGGATTTTGGAGAAAAAAAACTTTTCCCGTGATCGAATAAATGCTCAGCGCATACAATAATAAAAAGGAAAGAAAGAGCCGAACAGAATAAGTGCGAACAGTAATATATAAATCAGGAAACAAGGCTCAAGTAAGGCACCAAAAGTTTTGGTCTCGTCATCAGGAGAGGAATTTGGAGAAAAAAACTTTTCCCGTAATCAATGAAACAGAGAGCATACCATATTTGGAAAGAGTATGNTTTCCCGTAATCAATGAAACAGAGAGCATACCATATTTGGAAAGAGTATGAAGAGCCAATTTGATTGAGTATAAACATGAAAGGATGAATTCAAGAACAAAGTGAAAAGTTGGCAGAAAAAAATTTCAATCGCCCTAAGAGGAGAAAATTCGAGAAAAAAACTTTTCTCGATATCATCGAAACTAAAAGCGCGTACCATCTCTGGGAAGAGAATGAGTACAAGCATGAATATAGAAAATGAAAAACAGGGCTCAACATTGACAAAAAAAAGTTTCAATCGCACTATTAGGAGAGTTCCGGAGAAAAAACCTTTTTCATGAGTCGAACAACCAAACAAACAGGAAAACAGAGAGAGAAAAGTTGAGCAGAAACTTCTGTTATCGAACGAATATGCTGATGAACAGGTGAATAACGAAAAGAAGAAGAAAGAGTTCCAATTGCACTTGAGAAACGACACCATAAGGACTGAGACATGAAATCAATCGATAACCTGTAAGTTAACGATAGTAAGAGTAACAGGGAGAAATCGATGAAAACGGAGGAAGCAGGGGTGAGCTCAGACTACCAAGCGGGGGGAGGAAAACTGTAAAAGGGAAAAGCAACGCAAGGTGGAAGGAAATGAAGGGCAGACATAGGATCACGACACTAGACACCCAGACACCAGACAAGGCTTCACTGAACGATATTATTGGAGAACAGCAAACCAAAAACTCGAGAAAAGAGAAAAAGTGATCAAACATGGATATTCTGAAGAGCATGAAGCAAGATTCTGCCAAACAGCATAACAAAACCGAATTACATAAGAACTCAGACAAGACAATCGATCGATATCATTATGCAAGTTAACGATTTTCAAAGAGAACAACCGAGTCTTTCATTTTTTCGTTTATAAATGAAAGCCTCTCTCCTTCACTGAAACTCTTTAAAGATGAAAGAGAAATGAAATGAAAGAAAGATAAACAACAGAAAACAAAAGAAATCAAAGAAAAACTTAAAAAAGAGCAGAAAAATACGAAAAGGAAGTGCAGACAATCGATAACATGAGAACTCACAAGTAATCACTCGATAACCTGTAAGTTGTGCCAGATAGGCGAAATATAGAAAAATCAATAAAAACAGA